AACTGACCATTTTTTGTGGCTAGTGATAAAAGCATACTGAATCTTTGGGCAAGCAATATGGTAAAACATAACAGAATTCATTAAAAATGATTGTGCAATTTGATCAAGTAACCCAGTCTTCACATTTATCTTTAGAAAATATAGAAGAAAAATTGACAAGCAGTAGGAAGGTTACTACAATTACAGCTTTTGCAGTATAAAAGTGAGCATAAAATATAAAAGGAGGGTAGGAATGATTTGGTATGTTACAGTGCATCAACATGGTGAGTTATCATATGTTATTAAACACAGTGATTATATAAACAGTGTTCAACTTGTAAAGTATTTATAATAAAAACAAAAACCTCTCAATCTTGAAGATAGTTACAGCAGCTAAGATTGACAAAGTATTATTATCTCCAATACCTTACGAGTTCTTTCAAAGTATATTTTTTAAAAAGGAAGAAACTCAATAGAGTTTCAATAGGAAATAGTCAAAGTTTATGAATAGGAAATTCTTGGAATGTAGAATCCGAATGACTCTAAATAGATAACGTGATGCTCAACTTCAATACCAATCGATGGAATTCAAATAGAAACAACATTGAGGTAACATTTGATGGTCATCAATTTGGCAAAATTTAGAGAGTTAGACAATGCTGAATGCTGACAAGATTATGGGAATAGAGGCCCTTATGTATAGCAACAGTGAACTGGTATGAATTAGTACACTAATTCAGGAGAAAGTCTGGTAATGTCACTCAGTGGATTTACAAAAGTGTATGACTTACCACCAGGCAATCTTGCACCATTTGCTATATTCCCCTGAGAGAATCCCTAACAGGTTCCGAAGCAACATAGATGTGAAATGTTGTTTGGAATGGAAGAAGTTAGAGGCATCTTATATGTCCACATCTGGGAGATTGGGTTTGTAAAATGTCATATATAGTCAAGCTTTGGTTAACAATGGGGATACATTTTGAGAAATGAGTCATTGTGTGAACAACATAAAATGCACTTACACAAACCTGGATAGCATAGCCTACTACATACTTGCTAAAAACTTACATAGTCTGGGTAGTTTTAATCCTAGGCTACAAACCTGTCTAATATGTTACTGTACTGAATACTGTAGGCAGTTATGATACAATGGTAAGTATTAATGCATCTAAACATTTCTAAACATAGAAAAGGTACAGTAAAATGAGTACTACAATCTTTTGGGACCACAGTTGTATATGTGGGTCATTATTGTCAAAAATGTCACTGTTGTGCATGACACAGTGGTAAAATGGGCAGCAAATGGAAGAAATGAACTAGTTTTAAATATATTTATGCACCACATAATGACATTCTGGTCAACAATGGAGCACATATATAGATTGTGGTCCTATAAGATTATAATGGAACTGAAACTTATTTTGCCTAGTGACATCATATTCATTATAACATCATGGCACATATTTGGATATGCTTAGATACACAAATACCATTGCATTACAGTTGTCTACAGTATTCAGTACAGTAACATGCTGTACAGGTTTGTAGCCTAGGAACAATAGGCTGTACAATATAGCCTACGTGAATTGTAAGCTTACCATCTAGGTTTAAGCACATTCTGTTATGGTCGCCAAGGATAAAACTGCCTAAGGGTGAATTTCTCAGGATGAAGACATACAGGCAGCCAACAAACATGTGAAAAAATGCCCAGCCTAACTAATCATCAGAGAAATGCAAATCAAAACTACAATGAGGTACCACCTAACACAGGTAAGGATGATTACCGTGAAAAAGTCAAAAAACAACAGGTGTTGGCGTGGCTGCAGAGAAAAGGGAAGACTTCTGCACTGTTGGTGGGAATTTAAGCTTAATCCAGCTTTTGTGGAAAGCAGCGTGGCAATTTCTCACAGAACTAAAAATTGAACTTCCCTACAATCCAGCAATCTCTCTTTTGGGAATATACCCAGAGGAACATGAATTCGTCTACTAAAAAGACACCTGCACACACATGGTTATTGCAGCACTATTCATAACAGCAAAAACATATAACCAACCCAGATGCCTATCCAAAGTGTATTAGATAAAGAAAATGTGGTACATATATGTGATGGAATATTATGCAGCCATAAAGAAGAACAAAATCATGGTCTTCACAGCAACTTGGATGCAGCTGGAGACCATCATACTAAGTGAACTATCACAGAAACAAATAACTTAATACCACATGTTCTCACTCATAAGCGGGCTCTGGTCATTGGTTACATGAGCACAAGGGTGAGATTTGCAGATGCTGGACACTGCTAAAAGATGGAGGGGAGGAAGGGAGAAGGAGAAGGGCATGTGGCAACATATTGGGTACCAGGCCCACTATCTAGGGAAGAGAGGGCTAGCTAGAAGCCCAAACTTCACCTGCATGCAACCTGCATGCAAACTTACGAGGCATAAGTTTTTCCTCAAAATAATTTTTTATTGTGTATTGGAGTCCCCATTTTTTAATGTCAGTAGATATGTGCCAATTTGGTGAGAGACTGTTGTCTAATTGTCATTTAAATATTCTGCTGCTACCTTACAAAATATGGTATGTTTTAAAAGTTTATATTACTATTTTAATGCATTATGTGTATAGTTTTTCTCTTTACAGGACTTGATGATATTATGTGATCTCAATAACAAGAATGTGGTCTGGATTTGTTAATGTTTTATATGTACCTTAGACAAATGAATATTATATATCACAAGGGTGTAGGCTCAGTATATATTGTCAGGACATTCCTCATTTATTAGGCTTACTGAATTTTTGTATTCTTTTTTTTCAAAGAGAGATTCATGTCTATATAGCACGATAGACAGATGTTTAAACAATAATATTGAATAAAAGTAGAAGAAACGTAATATGGTTTATAACACAAAGTGCTTGTGCTATGTAGAATATATTCATATACACACAACTATACACTAATTTTTTTAATGCCACACATGTAGCCAAGTACACAAATATATGGAGAGTGGATTTGATGATGAACACACATGAAACACATTAAAATGAATGTCTACAGGGATTAAAGTGAGGATTAGATACTATGAGTAAAATAAAACCACCTAGGGGTCTTGCCCACAAGGCCACAAACTAAAGGGTATAGTCAACTCAATTTTGTGTACCTAGAGTAACAAAAAAACAACAAAAAAAGGAAAACTAAAATTTATATAACTGTAAATGAAAAACTGTAATAACTTTACATTTAAAAAGCTGAAGGAATAAATAAGAGTATGCAAACTGATTGAGATAATAGAGTATAAATAAATGTTTATATGAGTTTAATTATAGCACAAAAATAGTATGCAGACACATTAAAGTAACACAAGTTACTTTACAAATACACAATGGTATACAGACTGATTGAAATAACCTAAAAATGTATCCACGTGAGTTGGCTAGGAGAAGGCCCTGTTCTGCCCTTCTGCTTCCTCTTGACACCACCTTCTGGATGTTATAATGTTGGTTTATGGATGGATTATGGGCAAGGATTCTTTATAAACCTGAATAGTAGGGCAACATCTTGCTTTGTTGGAATTCCTTCTTTCAGAATCTTTCCCCCTTCCTTGCATAAGGCTGGAGGATGAGACTGACCAATGCTGTCACTTCCTTTCTCCTACCGAGTCCCAGCAAAGTGCTGAAGTGGCTAACAGTTAAATTTGGCGGGACTTTTTTCCACATGGTTGGTGAGGTGAGAAAGGATCATGACTTACTTATCTTGAGGAAACTCATCGCTGTACTCTCCACACTACTTCCTGAGGTGATAAGGTCAGGAAGAGGTCTGAGGGAAAGGAGGGCACTCAGGTTGGGCTGAAGTAAAAAGCTCCCTCCTGTTGCCCTTTCAGAACCTGACTCACTAAGCCAGGTTCTCCACTGGGGTGGGGACTAGTCAAGTCTCTGAAAGCAACCTTGCACTTGATCTTGTCTCCTGTGCCTTGCTGCTGAATCTTTCAAGGGAGGGATGCAACAGGGCCACTCAAGAGAAACAGTCCAGGAGATGATTCGAGGCCCTGCTTGCGGTCCCAAAATCAGACACAATATGGGCAGAAAATAGAGCTGGTTATTTAAAATTCAAATAGCTAATTTATGTAGTGGAATTATGAATGATTTTTCTGTCAGTTTCATCTTGTTTAAATAAATATATACAAAATCCATTATGGCCTTCAAACGAAGCACACTTTATTTTCCAGTATTAGCCAGAATGTCATCCTAGTAATGAATTGTATTATTCAATTAACAGGTGTCCCATTGTGTAGCTAATTGGTACATTTATCCTATATGATTTCAACTGTTAGTAATACACGCATAAGTAAATGCCTTGTCTTCCAATTTGAGCATTTTCTACATACATTGAAGCTTGTATATCACCCAGCACAAATCTAAGTATGTAATAGAACCATTGTGAGAAATAGTAAAATTCTAAAATGGAGATGATTGTTTCTAAATATAACTAGCATCTTTCTCCACCTTTCTATCAATATTTTTTTTTCTTCAAGGTTTTTGCTGTTTTGAGAAATTCTTGTTAACTTTTGAAATTTCTCTCACATGTACTCATAATTTTGTTTCTTTTTATTTTCTCAGCTTCTGTTTTGAGCTACAAATATAGTTTAAATCCTCTATCCTTCAAAAAATAATTCTCCTAATATATTATAGGGAGACTTTTATATATTGCAAATGAATCCACTCCTTCCCTAATCTGTTAATCCCAGAAATCAAGATCCATTACCTTATTTTTTTACTATTTTTTAAGACTTCAAGTCACAGGAGGACAAGAAGAATTTATATGTTCTGTGCAATGATATAGATGTAGCGCCTTTCTTTAAAAACTATAATTATATTAAAAATAATACTGATTGTAGAGGTAGCAGAGGGGACTATTCTAGTCTGGCTCCATAGGGTCTTGTTTCTCAAACAATAGCAGTGACGCAAGTTGAGGATATGAGGAGCTAGTGTAGTTATATAAAAGTGAGTTAAAACTGTTTATTACCTTAGTTTCTTTCCTCCATCTGCAATTTTAGCTTTTTGAAGATAACCTTCTTTTTCAACCATCTGCAAGAAGAATGCATATGTTAAAACTGCGACAAACTTCTATGCATTGTTAGTTTGAATGAACTTACGTTTTTCAAGAGTCATTTGAAGTTTCCAGTCATAGAACTTCATTAATAATGCACACATAGCTTATGGGAAGTGCCTGCAAGATCATAGTCATTATAAACTGTTAAATATCTAAAAGACAGATTATGCAGAGAAGTGTGACTAATTTGTTAGATAGTGATACACCTTTTACTCACTTCTCTTTGTGGGCATTGAAGTAATTTGCTTTAAAAATTGATTAAAAATGGTAAAAAACAAAGACTAATGTAATGCCTCCTCTGATTTTACCAATTGTCTTGGAAAAGTTCTTTCTTTTTAACTTCCTCATGTACCTGCTGAGGCCAGGAAAAAGGAAGAGTTCAACGGAACCAAATAACTGAGCCAGCTGAATCATAGAAGGGCATTTAAAACAACAACATTTAATGCAGGTAACTCAGTTACCAAGAGACACCGTAGCAGCACTGACTCATTGTCTTTTTCCATGATGTGTCTCTATTGCCTTTTCCTGTTTCTTATGTACTGCAATGGCTTTCTTTGCTAATACAGCTACAAGTATCTTAAAGGAAATTCAGCAGCTCATTGTAATTCCACAGAGGTGTTTGTGGAGTTTTAGGCAAAACAAAGGCACAATGCAAACTGCAATGTGTTGACACACTGCAAAGTCTATCCCGGATGTTTTAATTACTAAGTACCCTAATTCTACCCTCAGCTGTCTGCCACACATGCCCCATCCCAAATCTGTAGCCTGCTCTCCATCTTTCATGCTTAGTAAATTGTCAATACCTTTTCCCCTAACTTGACTAATATCAGAGGACCTCACTCCCTTCATACCACCCCATATGCTTTCTCCTTGACTGCGATACTCCATCTCAATCATTTCTTCATCTCACAAACTCCAATATACATGAAATCTACTTAAAATTCAATTTGTAAAGCCAGGTTTAGTTCCAAGCTCCTGTAGTCCCAGCTACTTGGGAGGCTAAGGTGGGAGGACCCCTTAAGATCAGGAGTTAGAGACCAGCCTGCATAACGTAATGAGACCCTGACTTCATTAATTAATTAGTATATGTTTTATTACTGTGTCTCTCCATGATTCCTTTGCCATCTCTTGTAGGCAAACCTGAATCCTCATTTTCATTTCACCATTATCACTGTGAGAGCACTTATCAAACTATGTTGTAACTGTCTGCTTATTTGCTTCTGCTGGTATTTGTGCTATGAACATATTAAGGAAAAACAAACCCCTCCCCGCCACTCTGCAACCCCTTGTATCTTTTACACTTGAATTCCCAGCTCCTGGAGCAGTGGTACCCAATCTTTTGGGAATCAGGGACTGGTTTTGTGGAAGTAAATTTTTCCACAGATGGGGGCGGGGTGAGTGAGATGGTTTCGGGATAATTCAAGTGCATTACATTTATTGTGTACTTTATTTCTATTATTATTACATTGTGATATATGATTAATTATACAATTCACCATAATGAAGAACCAGTGGGAGCCCTGAGCTTGTTTTCCCGCAACTAGATGGTCCCATCTGGGAGTGATAGAAGACAGTGACATCCAAAGTGTTTTGCTTATGTCCAGTCTACTCTGTAATCTCGTTTTTGTTGCTGTCACTGAAGAAAACTGGCTTCACAAAGATAGGATATTGGAAATGGAAGCAGGTTTTTCAGTGCTTTTTTGACAATATCAGGATGTTCCACTTTGCCTTGAATCCAGAATGTATGGATATTTGAAGTTGTCGCAAGCATACTTTTTTTTCCATGTTAAATTTTTATTTTTTACTATAAGAAAGGAATTGACAGTAGCAGGATACTGGATACTGCTGGGGTGGGGTAGGGGGTTGGACACAACATCAATAAGGGTACCTGATCTCAAACCAGGCAAAGTGGAGACCAATGGGAGGCCCAAACTTTGCCTGTCCAATGACCACTTGTATATCTAATCCTGAATTGTACCCCACATCTTTAAAATAAAAAAATTGAGTATTTATTTATTTTTCTTTCTTATTTATTATTTTATTTTTAAAATGTGGGGTACAATTCAAAATTAGGTATACAAGTGGTCATTGTAGAGGTAAAATTTCGGTCTATCTTTGGTCACCACTTTGCCTAGTTTGAGATAGGTACCCTTATTAATGTTATGTGCCCTCCCCTGACAGTTTCCGGCTATAGCCAATCCCTTTCTTATAGTATTATGGTAAATGTTCAGGGTCCACTTATGAGTGAGAACATATGGCACTCAGTTCTTTGTTTCTGTGATACATCACTGAGTAGTGTAGACTGAATCCATTCAAGTTGCTGCAGAGTCTATTATTTTGTTCTTTTTTATGACTGCATAATATTCCATCGTGTATATGTACCACATTTTAAAAATCCATTCCAGTTTGGATGGGCAGTGTGGTTGGATCCAAGTTTTGCTATTGTAAATAGTGATACAATATACATGCATGTGCAGGTATCTTTTTTGGAGAGTTATTTAAGTTCCTCTGGGTATATTCCCAGAAGGGGGATTTCTGGGTGGTATGGAAGTTCAATTTCTAGTTCTTTTAGGAATTGACATACTGTTTTCCATAGAGCTTGCACTAGTTTGCATTCCCTCCAACAGTGTAGAAGCATTTCCTTTTCTCTGCATCCTCACCAGCATCTGTTGTTTTTGTTTTATTAATGATGACTATTCTTACTGGAATTAGGTGGTATCTAAATATGTTTTGGATTTGTATTTCTCTGATGATTAGTGTTTTCCATGTGTCTTTTGGCTGCCCATATGTCTTCTTTTGAGAAGTGTCTATTCGTGTCTTTTGCCCACTTTTTAATGGATCTGTTTTCTTTTTCCCCCTTTTGGCATGTTTAAGTTCCTTGTAGATTCTGGATGTTAGGCCTTTGTCTAATATGTCACTGACAAATATTTTTTCCCAGTCTGTGAGCTGTCTCCCTGCTCTCTTGATGGTTTTTTTTTTTGTTATGCAGAAGCTTTTCAGTTTGATGAGGTCCCACTTATCTATCTTATCTCTTATGGCATGGGCTTTTAGGGTTTTGATCAGGAGTTGGTTGCCTATTCTGATTTCCACAAGGGTGTCCTCTGCATTTTCTAAGATTCTTAAAGTTTGGGGTTTGACATTTTACAACTCCATTTGGAATTGATTTTTCTTTTGTCTGGTGATGAGTAGGGATCCTATTTCATTCTTTTGCACAAGGTCAGTTTTCCCAGCTTCATTTACTGAATAAGTTCTCTCCCCAGTGGTTGTTGGTGGAGGCTTTGTCCAAGATGAGTTGGTTGAGAAATTGAAGTTTGCTTCCAGAATCTCTATCGTTCTGCATGCCTGTTCTTGTACCAATACCAGGTTGTTTCGATTATTGTAGCCTTAAATCCAAGAGAATCTTTCAAAAACTTCCTTGTACTGATACAGGACTTTGACAAAGTCTCATGGTACAAAATAAACGTGCAAAAGACAGTTACGTTCTTACACAACAACAATAAACAGGGAACCAAATAAAAGACACAATCCCATTCACAATAGCCACACACACACACACACACACACAAATGAAATACGCTGACCTCTTTCTAACCAGAGAATTGGAAGATCTTTACAGTGAAAACTACAAAACCTAGGTCAAAGATGTCAAAGATGACACAAATAAATGGAAAAATATTCCAAGTTCATGAATTGAAAGCATCAACATCATTACGATGTCCATCTTACCAAAGGCAGTCTATAGATTCAACACTATACTCATTAAATTACCAACATCATTCTTCTCAGACCTAGAAACAACAATACAGAAATTCATATGGAAGCACAAATGACCACGAATAGCCAAAACAATCTTTAGCAAAAGAAACAAAGCGAGAAGTATGAAATATACTTTTAAGGCCACTTTCATTTGCAGTCTCAAGCAGCTGATCCTCTTCTAGCACAGACAAAGTCGATTCTCCTGGCTTATTTACATATGGGTCACAGAATCATTCCTTCTCAGTTTGGGGATCTTTTGTGTTTGGTTAACAGTGCTCAAATGCTTCTGAAAGCTGAGATAGGTGATCATGCACCAGCCAGGAGAAAGAAGGCCCTACTCAATCTCTTTCAAGATCTGTGCTAATGTTTCAAACATGTCAAAAATTCCACTGCTCACTTGTCTTTCATAATTACAGTTGGGCTTTAATTGCAGCCATTTTATCTACCAACTTGAACCAAGTTGTCATTTGCCCCTGAAGTGACTGATTGAGTTTGTTGAGCAGGTTGAATATATCCCACAAGTACGCAAGTTTTGCAACTTATTCTGTGTCACTAAAATGTGCTGTCAGTGATGACTTTTCTTAAAGAAATCACTGGCGCTGCTCTCATACTCAAAAACTCTGGCCAGTTGTTTACCTTTAGAAAGTCACGTCACTTCTGTGTATAAAAGAATTACATGTGTTCTCTGCATCCATCTCTTCACAGAGCTCCGTGAATAGATGCGAATTAAGGGCACGCACTTTAATGTGATAGATAATTTTAATCACATCCTGCAAAACATTATTAAATTAGGTGACAGTCTTTGGCTAGCATTTCCCTATGAATGACACGGAGCATAGCCTCACATTCAGAAGCAAAACCACCTCGTCATGGCAGCCACTTCGTCCATGTATATACTGACAAAAAATAACCAATTCAGTTTTTCTGATACATAATCATTCAGAGACTTTAATAGTTCTGCAGATGTGGTATTGGTTGGCAACAAAAATGCACATACCCTCATGCACATCCTCCTGAAAAATATATCACACAGGCCGGGCATGGTGGCTCATACCTGTAATCCCAGGACTTTGGGAGGCCAAGGTAAGAGGATTATCTGAGCCCAGGGGTTTAAGAACAGCCTGGGCAACTTGGAGAGACCTCATCTCTACAATAAATCAAAAAATTAGCTGGGCGTGGTGGCATGCGTCTCTAGTTCCAGTTACTTGGAAGGCCATAG